GACCAATGCTACAGTATTTGCTCTAGTTGCTCACCATCCCCCATCTGCCTCATCCATACTTGCCTGTGTGTTAGGTTACCCTTGGGAGCTCTACTGTGGCCTCAGGAGCAAGAGGCTAAACCCTGTGAAGGCACACGGCCTCTCTCTGTGAGCTATGTGGTGGTCTCTATGGCTGCTGGGGAAATCTACCACAGTCTCTGCAGATTCCCAATAGATGTTTCATAGAGGGAAAGCTTTTCCCAAGTGGAGCTCCTAAACCTCACATGTGAGACTCTGTGGTGTATGTCAGGTAGGTGGCCTTGGTGGTACTGGGGACACTATATTCACAGTCTAAATACATCTGAAGGCCTTATTCTGTGTTTCTACAGTGAAGCATTTTAGTTCATTTGGTTGTTAAGCTACAGATTGAGGGGGACACACACACACACACACACACACACACACACACACACACACACAAAGGGCGCAGAGAGAACGCAAAGGTTTACCACCTAATAAGACTGGGGCAAAGACTGCCACCCCCAGAATACTTTCCAGTTGGGCTCTCTCTGAACTGAAAACATTCTTTTATACAGGGAATTCCTGGGAGGGCTATGAAAATGCTGGTCCTATGACATATTACCCCTCCTGAATGGCACCTACCGAAGGGTTATTAAAATTTTACCTTTTTGTCAATAAAGTTCTTTGTGGGACATTTTTTTTTCCTGTCTGCATTTTAATGCAGCGTCCCCTGCCCCAGATGCACAAGGGAGGGGACAGAAAGGCCATTTAAAGCTCTGGTCTGAGAATGGCCCTATTATGCTTCTCACTGAATCTAGTGCCACATCGGCTCTGCTCTGCAAAGATACCATTTTTTAGCTGTAGGCTGCTTTTACTAATCGACAGAGATACTGGGCCCTGAGCAGTAGAGACATCTTCCTCAGGGACAGTGAGTGACTGCACAACAGAGCCCACCAGTCCTCCTTTCAACTGATCTGAAATCTTTGTGCTTTGAGTATTTGCTAGAAATTTCCCTTTCTGTATTCCGTGTTACAGGAACTCTCTCTCTCTCTCTCTCTCTCTCTCTCTCTCTCTCTCTCTCTCTCTCTTTTTCTCTCTCTCTCTCTCTCTCTTTTAAGCTTTCAAGCATAAAGGTGATGATGGCAGTGAATATTTGGGGATGCGTGTAGATCCTTGAGACTTCTAAATCTTCTTTTGTCTTGATAACACTTGTAACAAAGACAATTGGTCCTTGCCATTGGCCTTGGTGTTGAATAGCTTAATTTTCTTCACCCTCTGGACTGAGGACAACATATATCTTTCACCAAAGGGACATTGGCATGCTACTTTTCCTAAGTTCACATCACATTTGTTCCCCTAAGAACCTGTTGCTTTAGTGGAGACCTCAGGAGTGGCCAGGCTAGCTCATGGCATCGGTGGAGAATCTGGATTGAAGATCAATGACTTTCAGTTTACTAGGACCTTCCAAAGGGCTGGGAATTGACATCTGGGTGAAAGCCTGGGCTTGGAACAGTGACTTACACACCTTGGGGTGCATCACAGTCATGTGGCAGAGTGACAGGCCCTGCATGGAGCCTGAGATTCAGCAGTCCCATCCAGGGCCCCAAGGATTTGCATTCCACTCTGGCTGTCAAAGGTGTTAGGACACAAAAGTAACTTGTTTGGTTACTACAGGTATATGGACTGAAATATTTGAGGCTGTTTTCCCTGAGAGGAACGTGTGTATAATTGGGACATATTGAGGTGACCATATCCTGGTTGCAGCAGGCGCCTACAGAGGAACTACTACAGTTCCACAGAGGTAGGGTGTGAGATGGGAGCAGACATCCAGCCAGACATGGAAGGAGACAGTGAGTTTGGTATGGTCATCTGCAGGATGCTTATGTCCCACACAGGGTAGGACCAGGTGGGCCTGGGAGAAAGTGTGTGCACGTGTGTAACTTCAGGAAGCATTTTAAACACTTCCCTCTGATGGTGTAATGCACGCCTCTGAATGGTGGCAGTGCCAGATGAACTTTCCGGTCCATTTTTCAGAGAGTCTGACAGTAGATTGTGAGTTTCCCTCCTTCAGGATTTCACAGAGTGACTAATGTCCTCTGAGTCATAAGGGCAGGCTGGGGTGGCCTATGTGGCTCAAAGGAGGTGCATTGGCTTGACAGCAGACTGTCTGTGCTGTTTGGAAGCATCCCTAGTCATTTGTCCAGCAAATGCTGCACGAAGGATGAGCATGCCCTGAGCACACCATGTGTGGAGGCCAGTCCCTGTTCTCACTGAGCTGGTAAATGCATGAATGAATGAGCAACAGCCATGGACAGACACTTCCCACCGACACATCCAGACACTTCACATCTACCTGGCCAGACACTTCACACCGCCATGGCCAGACACTTTTCACTGCCATAGCCAGACAGTTCACACCTACACAGTCAGACACTTCTCACCTTCGTGGCCAGATCCTACCACCGTGGCTGGACACCTCCCACTACTGTGGTCAGACACTGCTCACTGCTTTGTAAGCACAGTGAATGAGAGGGCAGAGTAGGAAAAGGGGCCCAAATAGGGAAGGGACATTCAGGTGAGACTAGAATGAGGCCAGGAAAAGAGGGAGCAGAGCACACACTTGGCCAGAGCATTGCAATGGGGCCAGGGACCCCAGCGAACCCTTAAATAAAGCCCCTTTGTGTGTGATTCTTATGAAAATATGCAAGGTTTAGATGCTATTGAGTCTGTTTTTGACAAGTGGCTATCAATTTTTAGAGAATTTACATAATTTGCTGGCATCTTGTAAAGGACAGAGACTTCACAGCCAGAAACCTTGACTTGCTTCAAGTTATAGGGCTCCTGAAACAGACTTGGTGCAGTCTGTCCTCAGCCCCATGTCTCTTGTTGCCCCCCTGAAGTAAGTGGGACACCTGGATGCGGGGGGCGGGATTCAATTCATACAACAGAGGAATAAGTTAGAAACAGACCAACAAACCCTTCACTAACAGACCGGTGTTCAGTACCACACCACACACTCTGAAAGGAAGCCATTGTCCTCCTTAGGGTGGCTAATGCCCTGTAACAGCTCCCCCCTTCCCCGTGTGTGTGTGTGTGTGTGTGTGTGTGTGTGTGTGCGTGTGCATATGTGTGTGTCTATTTTTCTTACTGTCTGTCTGTCTGTCTGTCTGTCTGTCTCTGTGTGCACACACACGTGCATTTGTGTGTCTGTCTTTTTTTCTCTCTCTGTCTCCACTGGTAATGAAACCCAATGCGCCTCACATGCTATGCCTCTCACTTCTGATTTCCTTGGAAACTATTCAGACTGTAGAAGACTGCCTTGGGGTAAGGACGGAAAAAGCAGGCCATTCCTAGCTCTATGCCAGTGAAGCAACACAAGTATGTGGGCTCAGCCTGGTTTTGCCTTTTAATCCCTAGATAACGAAGCCCTGCCTCTGTGGGTAGTTTTGGTTCTCCGAAAAACTGTCTCACTGTAAAGTGGTTTCTATCTCTGGGAGGGAGGGGTGTTTTGGTGTGCATTACTCTGTTGGGACAGAGAAAAGCGAGTCATTCTTCATATACTGTTTGTCTTCAAAACATCTTTCATGAACATCCAACACATGCTTGTGGAGAGGTCACTTCTAATGTGGGTCACTTTCCTACAGACACTTTACAGAGGAGGGCACAAAAGGCTCAGCCAGGTTAAGGAATTCTCCCAGGACAGCACAGCTAATGAATGTCAGAGCTGGGTGCTGAAGGGTTTTGCTTCAATTCCAAACCAAAGTTAGGGCTCTTGGCCAGTCTCCCTGTTTAAAATCAGGCAGTTTTCACATGTGTGACAGAGTAAGAGGGCAGACTATGAAAGCCATTCCAGGCCAGACCTTAGGAGGCACCAGCAAGTTGTAGTCTTTGTAACAAACAGTATCACAGACTTTGGGGGCTCCTTGCATCACATTAGCAATGCCAGGACCATAGCTGTGTTTGTCACTAGACCTGCAGCTGTGCCTTCCAAATTCTAGCCTTACAAAGACCCTTATCCTCACCTGGACACAGGTCTCCCTCTCTTCTCTCAGCAAGCTCCCGGAAGCAAGTAGTGGTGCCCTGATGCTAGACTGTGTGTCTCTGGCTGGTCTGAAGGAATGAATGATAGATTTGCTTGCAGAATTGGTCTTTTGGAAAGAGGAAGCCTTAAATAGTTAGAGCTGATTATGAGGCCAGAGAGTAGGGAGAGGAGGGGACACACCATCTTTCCCCACTTTTGTGCGGAAATTGCACTTTGCTTCAGAAGTGAGACACTTGAAGCATTTCTGGGAGGTTAAGCCATTTCTCAGGTGTGCAGCCCTTACTCCTGTTGATGAAGCTTTCTGGGCTGGGTTTCAAATGCCCGGAGCTTCCTGCCTGGCATGTCTGAGCAGTCGCAGTCCAAGGCTGACTGCTTTATGGTTTGTCTTTGCTTTGTATTTTTTTTCTTTCTCTGTTGAATAAGAAGGTATGCATCCTTTGTCTTTTCTGTACTCGACAAAATTCCAAAACCCTGCCATCGGGCCCATTGAATGGAACTGTGAGAACAGAGTAACTGGGAGGAAGCAGGGGTCAGGGAGGATTTGCTAAGGCGATATCAATTCTTTCCAAAGGTCATTAAGAGGCACACAGCCATGTTCAGGGATGATGAAAAGCCCTGAACAAACTGCAGGGCAACATTTTGTCAACAACACACCTAGCCCTGGGATGCCCTGAGATAGATGTACAGTGACACCTTCACAATCGTGGAGTAAGGATTCCAACCAGTTCTCTCCTTAGACCTGTGCTGCAAACTTAACATTTCACACCTCACCTGGACTCCAGACCCGCCCCCAAATAAGAACGGCAAAGACCCTGAAGCCTGGATCACTAGCTGGCCAGAAACATTAATTACAGTTATAGCTGAGGTTATAACAGGCTGTAGAAATTTCCTGCTATAATTGGAATACAGATTCAACAGTTTTATTGAATGTCAAAGCACATTATTCCACACAGCTACCGGAGAAGCAGTGCCGAAGTGATGCTTCTCTTCCATGACAAACACCTATTAAGCAGTCAGCACAAACTCTTCCTTACAGCCCCTGGTATCACCCTCAGGGCAGGCAGACACAGCACAGCAATTTCAGAATTGCATATGAAAATTATAATTTTATTGTCTGTACAACTGAAGGTTTAACTCGGGAACCCCTGCCTCCATCTGAGCTGGATAAAGCAGCAATTCTCCTCATGGAAAAAAAAGCACAGTACACTATTGTAATCTAAGAAACAAGCACTATTTATGTATCTGAAAGCTGTGCTCTCAATAAGGCTAATAGTCTTATGGCCCAGAGGCCACAATGTTTGCAGCTGTAGAAAAAGAGCTGTAGAAGTCACAAGTAATGAGACGCTAGGAGCAGCAGAGACAGATGACTGTGGCACCAGGGGAGGATCCCTTCTGCAGCTGCCCTGTCAGTTCAGCAAGCATGACTCATAGGTGGGTACCATGTACTTGATGTTGATGAAGGCATCCTCCCCTCCATAACGCTCGAAGGCTTCCAATGTCTCCTGGATCAGGTCGCCAATGTTCTCCCTCTTCTGCTGGCTATAGTCGATGCCATCCCCGGAGTTCACTGGTTCAGGCAAAGAAAAAAAAAAGAGGCAGTTATTTCTATGCAGTGTCTCCAGAGTCCCACCCTATAGGCCAGGCATTTCCCAAGGGCCTGTTAGGAGACACTGACAGGTGACACTTTCTTGTTATCTTGCTGAAATTCTAGGCTGATGGAAACTCCACAAAAATACCAAGTCTCAGACAATGGAGATACCATGCCTGAGATACTAGCATCACCAAGCTGAGGCAGGAGGACCACCATGAGTTTGAGGCTGACCTGGGCTACATAATAAGACTCCTCTTCTTTTAAAAAGCCGATCAACCAATCAACCCATCAAACGAATGTCAAGAAAAAAAAGAACCACCAAATTCCAGGGCAGTGCTGGTGAAAAATTAATATGAAATAAAGAAACAAACATGGGAGGATCTTAAGACGAGCCCTGTTTCCAGTCAGAAGATCTCTTTGTACACTGATCACAGAGTGTTCCCTTGGGTCTTGGCTTTGTCCAGCACAAGCAGAGGGAACTGTCTATGGTTAGACCAGGCAGTTAGCCTCATGCAGCTCCCAATGGGCAGGAGAAAGACAGGCTTGGCTTAGAGCTGTGCCCCTGTGTCTCTACTGCTTTGTGCACATGGCCAAGTCTTGCTCTTGAGGATTAGGGACTCAGGCTCCTGCAGTTACTCCCAGTACTTTGCTGTGGCTGCTCCTGAATGGCATGGGGCATTTGATGACCTATCTTAGGGTCATGGCATGCCAGGGGGTTAATGTTGTGGCCAGTGCTGGAGCTTGCAACTCCAGTGACTGCCTTGCTGGTGCCATGAAGGAAGCGAGTTCTAGGTGGCCTTGGCAGGGTTAGAACCTGCATCTTAGACCTCCCACTCAGTAAACTCAGGTTGTAGCCAATCAGATGAAAGGTTCCTGATAGCCAAGACTCTGAGTTGTCTGGAGGAACTACAGTTCTGATAGGAGGACACCCCTGCATACGCCATACTCTAACACTGTCACATTTCTGTCTGTCTACACAGTCATCACACACTTCCCACCGCATCCTCAGATTTCCAAGGGCTTTAGTGTCACTGTTCCTTGCAACCAGCTTACATTGTCATTACATGGTGGCATAGGAAAGGGCAACACGTTGGGCTTTTAGGAGACAGAGGGATGAGGATGTGAGCTCAGGCCAGAGGATGCTACTAAGCGAGGGAGCACAGTGCAGCCTGAAGATGTCCACCCCACAGACGAGGGCTTATTGGTCCATACTGTAAATACAGGCTTCAGGTGGAGGTTAAAGTGGTGCTTCTTACCCCCAGTTCTTCTGGGACATTAAAAAAATTTGGGTGATGGTTCAGATCAGAGCAAAGATAATAATTACAATCCCACACAGCACAGACAAGATGTTTCTTTCTCTAGATTTTTCCCCTAGAAACTTCTTAGAGAAACACCATTGTTTTAGAGTCTTAGTAATATAGAAGAGATAGATTGCCATTCTGATCGGTTTGTTTGGTCAGAGTGAAGGTGGATAGAGATATGACAAATTTGCAAAAGCAGAGTCCTACAATTGTGGGAGGGTTGCCAGGGGTGGATATGGCTGCTGTTCGATGGTGGTGTGTGTGTGGGGGAAATGGTCATAGGTAAAGTCAGAATGAGACAGGAAAAAAGGTAACAGAAGAGTCAATTCAAGCTACCGGAGATGCTGTATGGTGAGATTGATGGCTAAGTGCAAGTGTATCCTTAGGAGTGGAGGGAGTCCATGTCCTAGGGGTCCACCTTGGGTGTCTCTGGCTAATCTCCCTGCCCTTCTTCCTCCCAAAGACATTCCTCATCAGTGTCAGCCCGTGGTCTTTCATATAGTTAGGGAGAATTTGGCAGGCTCTATTTGCCTCCGACAGTTGAACCTGTCACCACCCTCTGCCCCACAGACACCTGGGAAATAAAATTGGTGATGCATGGCTGTGACAGCCTTGGCATAGCTCCTTCTAGACAAAGATCCGTAACTGCTGGTAAATAGCGCCTTTTGTTGTGCCCAAAAGGTTAAGGACTGAGTGGGCAACAGGACAGGCACATTTTCTGGGTAGAGCTGAGGGGGTTTGGGAAGTCTGCACACAATGGAGAGCTCAACATGCTCTGTTTTTCACTCCCTCTCAGAACACAGCAGCGACAAGCAACACTTTATACCGTGTTCTTACTTTTTAAAAAAAATTTAACTGTAGGACTCTCTCTCTCTCTCTCTCTCTCTCTCTCTCTCTCTCTCTCTTTTGTTTCTCACTGAGAATTTTATCAATTCTCACCCCCTTGATAAAAGAACAGAGTGGAATAGAAGTTGCTTGTTCTGAAGGGAGTTGGAGTTGCACTATTTTGTGATTGTAGAATGTGCATCGCAGGGGCAGAAGACCAAAAGGCAAAACAAAAATCAAGGGCCTGCGGCTTGTTTTGCATGCTATAGTGACAGCAGGGTGAGCTAATGTTAAGCTATGCTGACAGGCAGGTAGGGATGCCATCTCCATTTTGAAACTGCATTGTTCCCGGTTTCTTGAGAAGCAGGAGTTGAGGTGACTCGTTCGAGCTCCCTGCTTTAAATGCAGACAATGCCACTGGAAAATGTGTTTGTGAGAATAGGGCATTTAAAACAACAAAAACAACAACCAGGTGGTTATTTACAATTGTCAGTTCTGGTTAGGAAGATGACATTTCAATTTAGGAAGTGGGGAGTCTATGTTTGGGTGGCTCAGAAGGGACACCGATGATGGAAGACATGTTTTATGTATAGCTAAACAGGGGGGTCTTATGTGGAGGGTGCCCACAAGAATGACACGTAAATAGCTGAACAAGAGATGGGCAATGTTCTTAGAGATAGATGCTGGCCCGCAGGAGTTAGGCGACGACCTCCCTGAGGCAGCTCTTAGTTCCTAGTTATTTGAGCTGTGTTTAGCTCTTTGAACGTTGACTCTCCCTGATTATCTGAGCAGTCTGCTTCAGGATTAAACAATGCAGACTCCTCTCTTCTCTAATTCCTTGGAAATGGTCCTGCCCTGGATGCTACTTCTTATTCTTCTCCAGGTCCGAACAAGATACATGTATACTTCCTGTGTGCCCACAGATGGCATCTTCCCAGGTTCCTGACTGAGGAGTGGCTAACCCTTCACCAAGGGCCATAGCAAAGGGCAGTTACATAAGCCACATTTACATTTCACACAGATATCTGCTACTTGGTGGACACTGGCCAGCAGCAGATGGGGGTCACATAGAATTTTGATACAATACCTCCAGTGTGATTTCAATTTCTACACTGTAGAAGCCTCGTTCTTTTCCTATATTTAGTTGCCACTATTACACAGTCAAGGAGTACTGTTGGAGGCAAGAAATTCAAAGCAGGAAGGAAGGCTAGTATTGCTAGAGCTTGCTCGCTCTTCTTAAGCCAGGTCTGGGATCTGCTTTGAAGCCTTGCTCCTTGGGCCTGAGCCCACCCTTGGCCTTGGCAGCAACGATGCTACTGTTACAGGGTATTCTTTGTGCACAGGGAAAGCTCTGCTGGACCTGGCAGGATGAAGGGACATGAGAAGACATCAGGCCTTTGTCTCTGGGGGAGCTCGCCAGCTGAATAAGGAACTCGCATAGGGCTACTCTTCATACAGGACAGAGGAACCAGTACCCGTGAGAACACATGTGGCTGGTGAACCCCGGGCTTCACAGTCTCCTTGTTGGTTACCTGAAGGCTTGCTTCAGGCCCTTCACCACCACACCAAGGGGATGAACTATGCCAACTCTTTCAGGGTCAACTAAGGAAATGAACAGCTAGCTCCCCCAGGAAAGAAACCCCCTTCATCCTTGTTAACTCTGACACATCATGGTCTGAGGCTGCAGCAGTGTGGCCCTCAGGAGGAGACAAGATCACACAGCTGGGAGCAATGTCACCATGTGATGATGACACAAATATTGCCTGCCCTGCCTCTACCTTTTGGACCTGCAGTGGCCCAATGGTTTGGGTAATGTCTCAAATACCCTGTAAGGGTCAGGAGAAGAAGAGGGGTGAAGGCATGGTGAGTTGGCTCACTAGGATAGACACTTGCCACCAATGCCCTGAAGACCTGGGTTCAATTCCTGGGATCTGCATGATGGAAAGAGACAACTAACTTCCACAAGTGTCCTCTGACCTCTACATGTGCCATGACATACATTTACCTCTCCACATCAAAAAACTAAAATTGAAAATAAAAAATAAACATAATAAAAATGCTAAAAGAAAACACTGGATGAGGAGAGACTCTCAGGATACCTAGACTTGTGTTCTCAATCTCTCTTTGCCCAGCTTACTAGCTTCTAGAAGTCCTGGGTTTGTGTAACTCATGCCTAATAACAAAAGAGATTGGTGTTGCCTTCAAAGTACCAGGTAGCCCTTTAAGTAGATGCAGAAATTGGGAAGTATGTCAGGGCTGAAGTGAGGAGAGCTGGCCTTCACTCTGGTCGGCACCAGTCATGGAGGCAAGCTGGCCCTCTCACACCAGAGGCTGAACGACGACAGCTGTAAAGTGAGCTTCAAGATGCAGAGTACTTGAATGTGACTTGAGGCCAAATCCAGACTGAAGCTTTCCCCAGGGAGGGAGTGTTCATCGACATGAAGCAAACTGCCAAAGTGCCTTGGAATACAACACCAAGGCCCTGGGTGACATACTCAGCAGCCAGCAAGAACTCTTGTCCATTGTGGCTGAAGTGACATGAAATTTGGAATTTAAAGTACACCAACAGGACAAACTCAATTGTTTCTGGATCAGTAAAGGCATCCGTCTGGTTCTCAGTGAACTCAGAAGTCCCTGTAACCTATCTGAATGTGATGGCATGTGCCTGTAGTTCCAGCAATCAAGCCATAGAGGTGGAGGCAGCAGGATTACGAGTCCAAGGCCAGTTTAGGCACAGTGAAATCCAATAAAAGAAAAACAAAGGCAAAGACTTCTGATTTCACTTTACTTATTGTTATTTTTTTTTCTCATGTTACCAGTTACAGCTAAAGTTGCTTGTGGTGATGTCAT